CTTTCTGTCTCTCTCTCCGTCATTCCGCCTCTCTGTACAGTGTCCAAATCAAGTCTATAAATAATTTGAGGACAGTTTTACGAGTATTGAGCGTCTGTTGATAAAGTGTTGGCCTCTGGGCTTACTAGCCTCCGACTCTGACCAACTCCTGCTCCAACTGCTGCTCCAGCTCCGACTCAGTTCGAACTTGGCACAATAGTCGTAATGTCATTGGCTTCTGCTTGGCTGTCTGACCACACCCGCAGCTGTTGGCTGACCTATAAAAAGTACAACTTTGATACAGGTTATTAAGTAAATGTAACTGGCACACACACACTCGCACACACACGTACACACATGCACACAGACGACTGCACACATAAACAATACTTTATTTACACTGTAATGGCATATAAAATGGCTGCCATTTGCTATGTGTGAGTGTATTTGTGTACATATATCTGTGCGCTTGTATGTATGTGCGTCCAGTTGTTTAATTTCTTCGCTTTTATTTTGCCACATTTTTGTGTGCTGCATCTCTGAGGGGTGTGGCACTCGGCCTGACCTGGCTGCTTATTTATTTTCGTAATAACAATAAATAACATTTTTCTTTCTATGTGTTTGTGTGTGTGTGTGTGTGTGTGTGTGTGTGTACGCTGGGCTCATTTGCTAAGTTGTTTTATGCGCCTGTCGCTTGTTTTGTGGCTTTTTGACATTATTTGGATTAAGCAAATAAATCTTGCTCATGGCCAAACTTTTTTAATAATTTTCTTAAGCCATCAGAAAACATGAAAATAGCAGCAAAAATATCATCGAATACGATTCACCTTAGCTCTGCCTTCTGTTCCACATTTCGATCTACAAGTTTAATTGAAAATCAGCAAGGACATTTTTTATTCAGCAAACAAATCACGCACAGCTATGAAAACAATCTAAATAAACTTTTGAAAAATTGGCAATTTTTTTTTTTTTTTTTTTTTTTTTTTTTTTTGCGAAGAATCCTTAAAAAGGTCTGCAGCAGTTGCATGCAAATTTTGGCAAAATTTAATAAGAAATTTTTCTGGGCTAGAAGCTCTATAAAATGGAATGAGAAATGCGTGCTAACTATTGTTAAGAGTAGTAATCTAAATGCTATATGAGCTGCTGCAATTCTATTACCCATTAATTAGACATGTTTTTATTGATTTTTGTTGATTTATTTTTTATTTTTATTTTTATTTATTTATTTTTTTTTTTTTAATTAAATCTCTAGTCTTATATAGCTTAATTAATTAATTACAGAGTAGCTTTTACTCGAGCATACCCCACAGCTGTTCGATTTGTCTTTTACACAAGTTATTTTGCAATGAAATTGACGACGATTCCTGTAAAAAATACATGTTTTGCATGTGAGAAATTGTGAGAGTCAAATGTTGTATGTATGCATGCAGGTGAACTATGTGTGCCAAAAAGTAATAGATACACAGACACACACCCACAGATTCATACACATGTTGTCTAAGCGTTGACTGTGCAAAAGATAATCAAACATATAAACAAATATATAGATATGTACACATTTACATATACATATATATACAGACACAGCTCTAGCCTGACTTGACTGGGCTTGGCTGGCAGGGCTATGAAATTGGAAAGAGTATTCATAGCTCAGCTAGGCAATGTTCGCTGAGGAATGTGTTGGAGCTCACGTTAAAAGTTGCTGCTAATGGACATCAAAATTAACACTCACTGACTTAATTATGTGCATAAATAGGCACTGCAAAGGCCGCTGCTAATTGAGTGAGTTTTTCCGACCTGTCTATCTCTCTCTCTCTCTTTCTCTCTCTCTCTCACACACATATGCGTGCATATTTCAATTAGACGTGGCTAATAAAACATAAGAGATGCGCCACCCTGTCCGTCCGTCTGTCGGTCTGTCTGTCTGTCCATCAGCCCGCCTGCCGGGCCACAGGCATTTGAAATACACACGCCAAGCCGCAGCAAGGCGCATTACCATTACCGTTAGGAGCAACTGGCAGTTGCTCATTTTGAAATTATGTGAGGCGGGCGAGTGGCTAAAAAATAATACCGCAACGAGAGACCAAACACATTTGGGCTTTTCAAATGCTTAACAAAGTCCAAAAGAGCAGGACAGATAACGAGAGATTGTGTGTGTGAGAGAGAGAGAGAGGTGACTGCGCCATATTGTACACATATATTTTATTTTTTTGGAATTATCTTGGTATTTTGTATGAATAAAAAAGCAACTTGGGAGCTTATTCCTATGAATGCCATACATTTCTGCTTTCAATGCATATATGTGTGTGTATTTGTGTGCATGGGTGTATGTGCTTGTGTATGTGTGAATACACACGCTCTAAGAGCACTTTGGATTTGGCTTAATTAAAACTTTAGGCGTGCAGAAAACGCGCGCAAAGCTGTTGGAAAATTAACGAAATTGCTGAGGGGAGGAAATGGGACGTAGGCGTGGCTGCCGTTGCTTCTGCCACTCATTGAAATTACAGCTGCGCCACTATTTTCCAATTGCCGGCTATGATTCAGCTAGCTGCACCTGCACAGGTATGCCAGGTCGCCATGCAGCCAACAGCCATGGAATTTTGCAATTCGTACCAACTAAGCCTAATGCACGCGATTTAATGACAGCAAGTGTGCGTGTGTTGCGTGGGGCACACAGCCAGCTCAATCTCCAATGGGCCAATGGCTAACTCTGCGCCTGGCGAATGCGACAAAAGTATAGAGTGACGAGAGCACCGCCTGATAGCTAATCATTTCACTGTCTGCTAGCTTTGCTCTTCGTTTGGGTTACTCCCAAATTAGGAGAAAATTAGCCAATTAGCAGTAGAAAAATATAAGCTGATTGATGACGGTCTTTTAAATGCAATACTACGCTCTATCGTCCGTCTATTTGTATTCAATTTTAGCTACTTAATGAAATGGGTCTATTCGTCGTTAAAAACAGATGTAAAAGCAGCCGTCGATTCGTGTCTATAATAATTAGTGTCACATGTTCATGAGCAAGCCAGAGAGGTTACAAAGAGCTAGACTGATTATACCCTGAACCCATTGAAAATGGGAAATTAGGGTATAAAGGTTTTGTGAAAAAATATGTAACGGGCTGAAGGAGACGTGGCAGACCCCACAAAGTATATATATTATTGATCAGCACGACGAACTGACCGTCTGTCCGTCCGCCCGTCCGTCCGTCCGTATGAGCAAAAGGATCTCAGAAGATATAAGAGCTAGAGAGCTGAAATTTGGCATGCATTTTTTTTTGTTTTTTCAGCCTCATTAGAATACTATTAGACCTGGAGACTTCAAATTTGCGTTGTACATAAAGTTAATGGATACAAAGATTTTGTAATTTACAGATTTTGGATACAACGCCCCTTTCGCCACCAATTCGTAAAATTCAAATACTAGAGACTTGTGCTCTGGAATGTACACACATTTTTACCATATGATTACGCTCTAAAAGTTTCATTAAGATCGTATGTCTACAAAAGAAATTATTCAACAAATAAATTCTCATAATATTGCTCACACTGCAGCGCTGCCCAAGCGCAGTCGCTGCTTACTGCGCAGTTAGCAGAGCTCGTTGTTATACGCCCATCTGGATGTATGTGTATGTAGATGTGCATAAAAGAAGTGCAGAATGATTAGAATATCAGCTTAGAGGGTTCAGGGTATCTCCCAGTCGAGCAATCTCGACTGGAGCCTTCTTACTTGTTATACCCTGAACCCATTTTCATTGGGAAATCAGGGTATAATGGTTTTGTTGATATGTATGTAACAGGCAGAAGGAGGCGTGGCAGACCCCACAAAGTATATATATTCTTGATCAGGGCGACGAGCTGAGTTGATTTGGCCCTGTCCGTCTGTCTGTCCGTCTGTCCGTCTGTCCGTCCGTCCGTCTGTCCGTCTGTCCGTCTGTCCGTATGTATGAACGCGTCGATTTCAGAAGATATAAGAGCTAGAGACTTCAAATTTTTTTTAAAATGTTCGTAATTACAGCGCGCATATCAAGTTTATCATTAAAAATCGATAACGCATACCGATCTTTTTTTATCGATAAAAAACCTTATCGAAAACCAGTTATAAAATTATATCTTCTACACCTTTATTGCTAGAGTCTCCAAATTTTTAATGTATGCTTATATGCAATTTATACAATTTCGGTTTTTGTTAAAATTTACCCCCCACCCTTAAATTCATCCCCTCACCATCACTTTTGTAAAAAGCGTATTTCAAATACTAGAGACTTGTGCTTTGGCAATTACATGCATATCCATGTCATAATCATAATCTGAAAGTTTCATGAAGATCGTACGTCCACAAAAAAGGTGTTAAGCAATTAAGTTCTCATAGTAAGCGCACACTGCAGCCCATGCGTGTTTATGCGTGGTTGCTTGTATGTGTATGTGTGTGTGTATGTGTGTGTGTGTGTGCGTTTGTGTCTGTATGCGTGTGTGTGTGTATGTGTGTCTGTATGCGTGTGTGTGTATGTATACCTGTGTGTGCGTACGTGCGTGTGTGTGTGTGTGTGTGTGCGTGTTTTTTGTGTAAGCTGAAAATCGCGAAAAAGTATTGAAATATCTATTGCTCCAAGGGTTCAGGGGATCTCGTAGTCGAGCAGTCTCGACTAGAGCTTTCTTATTTTTTTAATGAATTATTTAAAGTAAACTTTGAGCATGCTAACATCACTACGTTGATGGCAGTTATTGTTGATTGTTGTTGATTTGGATGGGTTTGTTCTCTTAACTTTATATCAAACTTCATCGGAAAGTTGCCTCAAGACTCAAAAGTCTTTACTCATGGTCTAGTTTACAATCTTCTTGGTTTTTGTTCAAATTATATTGAAATCTTAAAATGTAGTCTCTAGTCATATCATATCGTACATATAGGAAAAGTAAATTCATGAATAAACAAACAAAAATTTAAATCATAATTCGAATGCGTTTCATATACCGAAATATATAAAATATATATGAGAATTTTTTTTTTTTTTTTTTTTTTTGCCCTTTTACGGCTAAATATTGGCTGTATTTAATACGTAACGTACAACGGCTTTTTAGTTCATAACAAAATAAATGCAATAAAAAATATAATAACTTGAGAGTTTTCTGCTTGTGTCGAGTGCGCTTCCTGCTAATTGCCAGGCCAGAGATTGTCCAGGTTCAGGTTCATTTCAAACGCCGGCAACGTCAACTGTTGCCGCTCCAGCTGAAATGGACGTAGAAGGCTGCGAGTTGATGTCAAATCAGGCGAGAGATTTGGTGCACGCTTGCTGGCGCATTGGTAGACATAATTGGCCAGGCTCACAGCTTGAGCTGATGCTGCTGTGCCTGTGGCTGCGCCTGTGGCTGAGGCATTGGGCGTGGCACGGCCTGCAGCGGCTGCCACATGGCCGTCAGTGGCTGACCGCAGCAGAGCTGTTGGCCCAGCACAGCTGCCTGTGTCCGCCGGCCAGTCCGTGGCTCGCCACATGTGGCGTGTGGCAGCATTCTCCGATGGCAGCGACTGCCTGAGGCAATACCCATATATTTGCATCACTGTGGACAACAAATTGAGCTGATTTCTGCACCACCACCAGCACCACACTCGCACCACTTACCCAAACTGTGGCTCAGCAGCCAAAGGCTCAGCGAAAGCAGCTTCATCGTGAGTCAAATTTTCGTACACAGTTTTCTCCCTTTCCAAATGTGAGACTCACTTTTCGAGTTGTTGCTGCTTGATTAGCTCGACGACTGACTGACTCAGTTCCTTTTTCATAGAACAAACTTGAGCACTTTTCCTAGGCAAGTTTCTCAAGGCTCTCTCTTCGCCTGCTTTCGTATCTGTTGACTCGCGTTTGTTGTCCCTTTCGAAACTAAATCCATTTAAATTGACGCATTGACAATTGTTTTACCAATTTTATTGCGCTTGCTTGTTGCTGCTACTTGAAGTAGAAATTGTTGTTATTGTTGTTGTTGTTGTCGTCGTTGTTGTTGTTGTTCAAGTGGCACAAGTTTTTCCAATTCAGTTTCTTTGTTGATTTTTCGCTGCTATATTTTGGGTATATTTGAGCACTTAGGCTTTCGGCTTCTTTTAAGGAATTTGAGACTTAAAGTGGGTCGGAAAATTCTCAACTAAAAGTTTTTGTAATCACGTATACGTATAGGAAAATGGCAGATGTATTTTCCATCACTTTTATAAATCTATTGAATGCAATTCGATTTGATGCAATCTGAAACATGCCAAGTCTAAAATAATTTATTTTATTTGAATTATTCAGTATATGCTTTATAAGCAAGTGTATTCAGCTTTCCTCACTATTCTTTGCATACTCATTTCTTGTCTTTTCTCTATTTTCTCGAGCTGTCTTTTCTTATTGGTGGCATGTTTTTGTCTCTTCAGCATTTTGACAACTGTTCGCTCTCTGTTGCTGGCATTTGGCTTAAAGTTCGTCCTGTGTTTACTCTTAGTTGATTTTCAGCTCGCTTATCTTTTTTCGTGCTTTGAGTTTGCTATTTTGCAGCATTTGCTGCTTTGCATAGCCAGCTAGTTTATCAAAACATTTTCAAGTTGAAGTGCGGCTGCAAAAACAATGCGCCCAAGGCATCGATTTTCTCAAGTGCACCTAAGAGCTGGGCTGGGCTGGGCTGACTGGGTGAAAAGGGTTGTTGGGTGCTGGGAAAACAACTCAATGCATGGCACTTAAGCAGCTCAAGCAACAACAACAACAATAACAATAACAATGTAGCACTTGGCTGGCATTTGGTTGCAAGGTGCAGAAACTTTCCTGACAGCAGAATGCAATTTGTGTCTGCGTCAAAGTTTATGCAACGCTTACTTGCCACCGTCTGTTCTTGCCACCAATCATATATATGTGTGTGTGTGTGTGCGACTGTTTGCCCAATCAGTCAATAGCCAGCAAAACTAAGTTAGACTAGGCACGCTGCCAAAGCTGCTTAAGAAGCGCTTGAGCATATTTGAATTATGCCTCCATCCAAGCGCTACTCATGACCCAAGCCAAACACAACTCTTGTCACACACCAACGTTACCCGATCTAATTATGCAGCAGCAGCAAATGCAACAGCTTCAGCAAATATAATTCTGGGATGCCTATGAGTATACTAGGAGGGAGAGAGAGAGAGAGAGGGAGAGAGAGATATTGAGTTGAGAGACTTTTGTTAGCTTATAAAGCTGTGTTTCACATACTTTTCATAGAGAGTAGACTGTATAGATATACATACACACATACATATATAGTAGTAGACTATAATATCAAAGTTTTTAGCCTACCCTCGCTCTATATATATATACATAGCTCGTCGTTGGGCTGACTTATCGAGCAGGCAGCTCGTGCCGGCACGGAAACAACGCTGGCAAACGCTTGGCACGTGCGTTTCATATGATAAATGTTGTCAGTGTTGTTGTAGTAGTTGTTGTTGTTGCTGTTGTTGCTGTGCTTGTTGCCACAGTTCCTATTGCTGTTGCAGTTGTTGCTGTTGTCGCCTTTGCCGCAGACGCGCTTCTGATTATGCAGCGCAGTCTCTGCCCGCTTCAAAGCCAGTTATGCTGCGTGTGCTAAAAAAAAATAAAAAAGAGAGAAATGAAAAACTGGCAGCGACTTCCTCTGTATTCGTCCAGGTGCATCTTTTTATTGCACTCGCGCTCAGAAATATACCACAAAATGAGCTAGACGTGAACGGAAGGGAGATTGCAGCCGCAGCAGTAAGGGTGAGGGGAAGCTCTCCCTCTCTCTCTCTCTATCTCTGTCAGTTGTACGACTCGGCTTAGTTTGTATGCGGCGTCAGGTTTCGTTGTGTGTTCAATTTACGCTGACATGCGCTAACTAACTCTGTGTGCGTCTGTCTCTGTCTGTTTGTGAGTGTGTGTGTGTAGCAAGTTGTCATTGTAACTTGCAACTTAAATGCGCACGTGACGCTGCCTGAGCTGCTTTATTGCCTGCACTGGCGAAAATTAACTAGATGGTCTTACCTCTCCTTTCCTTCTAGCCATTTCGAGCTGTCAGCTGACGTTTGCTGTGCCACATTCTTGGGCTGACAAATACACATTGAGATGTTGTTTCATATAACACTTGCAGCTGGCCGCAATCTGATAGGCGGCACATCACGAATGCATAACCTTGTTCAGACTTCAGTCTATAAGACTTAAAACAAACAATAAACGTTAACAGATTTTGCTTTTTCTCCTCTCTCTTTCTCTCTCTCTCTCTCTGTCACTACCAACTATCACAAGCAAAGAATGATCGATTGCAGACTTTTTTCTCCTCTATCTTTGCCTCTCTTCCTCTCACTACCAGCTATCACATTGTGCATTCGCTGATTTATTTACTTATAGATAAAATGCATTGATTTCTATGTAAGTCTGCATTACGCATACGCCTCATTGGTCGGCGTTGCAATCAGCTAAACGCCTTCCGCAGACAGCAATCACGCCGAAGGCTTTGCAGTTAGCTCTCAAGGACACACGCGCAATTGCATGGCAAAGTCTCGCAGCAGCAATACCTCAATTCTAGCCAGCTTCAAATTGAAATTCAACAAACAGCTATAAAAGGAGTGATGCCAAAATACAAAAATTCAGCGACAAATGTTCACTGGCATCAACAACAACAACAACAACAACAATGGCGAAAACTTTGTCGACACTGGAATTATAATCAGAAAAGTGTGCGCACACAGAAATTGAAAGTCAACACGACGCCGAGGGAGGTGAGACGAGATGCTCAGATATTGAAATCAAATCACGGCATCGTCAAATGCATTTAAAGCTATTTGCGTTGCATTCCATCTCCCGTATTGCAGCTCCCCCTCTCTCTCTGGCACTCTTTTCTTCTCCTCCAGTAGTTGTGTCTCTGTCGTCGCTTGTGCCTCGCTGCACTTTGCGTGCGCCTTGGCATGTGTCTCTTAATTTTTCATACCCCTTCCCACTCCCTATTCTCAATCATTCTCCCCTTTAGATTCTCCCAGTCAGTCGGTGCTGTCATTGCTGCTGTTTGCATGTCTGGATGGGAAAATTGATTTTTATCGCCTTGGGAAATGCGTTTTACTGACGCGCTTTGCTTTTCAACTTTCAATTTCTCGATTTTTGCTGTCATAAAAATGTCACAACTATTTGAAGCTACTTGAGTTTTGGCTTTGCACTTTAGAATAGCATCAATAAACTAAGAACTGTCCGAAACACACTTCTGGCATTACCCGAGCTCATTGATTGCCAACAATCAAAACTCAGTTCAACTTAATTTCTGATATGTCATTTCTGTAAGATATTCAAGGCGTGGTCTGAGTGAGACTTTTCAATTATGTTTGAGCACATTAACACTTTTACCATTCAAATTACATTATTTTTAGATATGCTAGATTTTCAAGATTTCTATTAAGTATTTTTCTAAAGCATTTCCATTCAAACATTTTAAACAATAATAAAAATTCTTTTAGCATAATTTCTAAGCACTTATGTGAGCCTCTAAATGAATAGCATTTAAAACAAACATTTCATTTCAACTATTTGTGTATCGTCAGAGCCCGCAATTATTTACCAATTTGCATAGTTATCGAGCGGCAATTTGAATGAATTCTTCTGCAATATTAAGTGCAATTTACCAGCCGAGTTCTTTCATTCAAATGTATGTGTATTTGTTGTAGTTTTTGCTAGCTCATTTGCGACAATCTGTTAACAATTCATGAGAACTTTGTGCATTTGTTGGCTTTTATGACATTGCGAATTAATAAAGCGCGTATCCTGTTCGACATAGCAGTAAACGCGCTTGTTAATAAATAAACAACATCAATATTTATGCTTCACACATTTTGCCATTTAATAAACAGAACAGAAAGAGAAAAATAACACAATTGAATATAAAACAAAACAAAAGAAATAAATGCAAAAAAATAAATGAATAAATAAAACGGGAATTTTTCCAATAATTTTCTGCAGCTGGTTGACAGCCACAAATTAATAATAAATATTTTGCATGCGTATTTCAATTGTTGCACTCAATTGTTGTTTATGGGCAATTAAAGAAAAATAAACAAAACAAATAAATACGTAAGTAACACAAGTGAGTGCCCAGCCGAGAATGCTCGAACAAATGATACCCTGTTTTATAAGCTAAAGCTATATTAATTAATTGTTGTAAAAAAGTTATAAATTTTTGCATTATATATGCTATCATTAAGGAATTTGTTTTTCTTATATTCATTTCTTTTTCACACGGATAAACTGATGAAGATTCTCTCAATTCCATCCAGCCCGCTCGTATAGCGAAAAGCCAAACGCATCGATGGCTTTCAGCCTTAATTCATTATCAGCACATTAACTATTAACAATAATAATACAATTATGTGCTGCAAATGCACTTTAAATTTCTATGCACTTGTGGGCATAATATTTACAGTTGCATTTCAAATATTGCGTATACGTCGCGTGCGCTTAATTAATACCAGCTGTTTATTGAAAATTTCATTTTTAAACATATAGAGCTAAGCAAATATTCAGCGTAAGTGCGATTTTCGAATTATTATGCATATGCCATGTATTGGGAACATTTTTCTATGATCGAATTTTGTTTGCTATTTTCGTAAATATTTTTGTAATAATGTTTTTACTCTCCAGTTTGGCACATTCGCTATAGTTAATTAAAAACTTTATGTTGCTCATAGAACAGCCAATATTGAGCCTGAAAAAAGTGCCTTGAGCCCTAAAGGGGCCCACTGCAAACCCTTTTAATTGAACATTTTTAATTTATGCATAATAAAAACTGATTTACCG